ATGCTAATTATCTGTAATAAATATAATTTTCTGGCATAATTAAAATTTATTTAGATGTAAATTTAACAGAGATTAAAAGCTTCTTTAGGATGTTGATTTTTGAATATGTTTTCTCCTCCATGATGCACCCTTTATAATAGTTACATTTTTAATATACCATTGACACATTTTGTTGAATCTAATTACAGTTTCATTTCTGCCTTCTGCTTACACTGCTCTTTCAATCATTTCATGATTGTATGTAAGCTGGTAGAGATAATTTCTTTACAAGTTCTCTATTAAAAACATTGGTATTTCTATCAAAAATGTTTTTTCTAAGATAAAAGTTTATTTTCTATAGGCTTTAAATTTTATAAATTAGAACAATAAGAGATCCTAATAAAGATAACATAGTTTGTCCCTTTTATAGTTTATGTAAGATTATCTTTTTTACCTTTTAGACATGAAGTATGCTGGTATATTTTGGTTACTTTATGTGTGACTGTACCAGTTTTTAACACTATTTTTTTTTCCCTAAAGATAACTTAAATCCTTTTTTGCACCTTGTAATTGTTTTAATTATGAAGTAATCGTTTTGCAGTATTCTTTCTACATTCTGGTTTGTATTTAAGGGTGCGTGGTAGATGAGATGATACGTGTGTGTGCGCACATGTTTTTGCTTGTGTTTAATTTAAAAAAATCCTGATACGTAACAGCATTTCTATGTGATATTTAAAGATTTTTGTAAACCTTGGCTTTCTGTATTCTGTTTTTTTGAGTAAAACTTACCTCTGAGTTTGATGGCTTTGAAATACAAATCGTGAGACTTAAGGAAAGTGATCAGGTTTATCTATTGCATAGTGCTGATGCAACTTGGAGTTATACTAGTGAGAAAAGGGAATCGTAGTTTACAGATTCTGCCATTTTCTTCTTTCATTTGAATTAAATAGAGAAAAGATAGATGGTTATTGCATGTATTGGTTTTCACTGCTGTATAACAAATTACTCCAGAATGTAGTGGCTTTAAAACAACATACATTTATTATTGAACAATTTTTATGGGTCAGGAATCTGGAACAGCGTAGCTGGGTCCTCTGCTTTAAGGTCTCTCTCAGACCTCCGTCTTCTCTAAAGGCTTGACTAAGGAAGTATTTGTTTCCAAGCTTATTCACCTCTTTGTTAAAAGGATTCTGGTTGTTGTTTTTTTTCTAGACTATTGGATTGATAGGGCTTCAGTTCCTCACTGGTGTAGGCCTCTAATATGTCAGCTTGCTTAATCAAAGCACATAAGCTGAGAAGGCAGCAGAGAGACTGCCAGTGAAATAGAAATCACTGTCTTTTCTAACCGAGTCTTGGAAGTAATGTACTTTGATTTTTGTGTGTGTGTTAGAAATAAGTCATAATGTTCAGCCCCCACACAGGGCAGGACATAAATACCAGAGGTATGTAGAGGCATAAATACCAACAGGCAGGGATTATTAAAAGCCATGTTAGATGCTGTTTTGCCTTAGTTATATAAAATGATGATGGACTACATTGAGAATGAGTTTATACACAATCTTTGTTTAGTTTTTTTTGTGAATGCAAGGCCCACTATTAATTTTGTGGGAATTTTTAGTATGGATAAATTCTTTTTAATATGATGTTTAACAGGAATGCTGCCTTTGTGTTCCTTTGTCTCAGTTCCTTCAATCTCCCAAATAGAATTTCTGGTCTTACCCCCACCCCCTTTTACATTTAAGTATATGCATTATATACTGGAAAAATAAAGCTGGGTGTGGTGGCTCACTCTTATAATCCCAGCACTTTGGGAGGCAAAGGCAGGTGGATTGCTTGAGTTCAGGAGTTCGAGACCAGCCTGGGTGACATGAAGAAACCCCATCTTTATAAAAAATACAAAAATTAAGGCCAAGCGTGGTTTCTCGCACCTGTAATTACAACACTTGGAGAGGCCGAGGCGGGTGGATCATTTGAGCCTGGAGTTTGAGACCTGCCTGGGCAATATAGCGAAACCCTGCCTCTACAAAAAAAATGCAAAAAGTTAGCTGAGCGTGGTAGTACACATTTGTAGTCCCAACTACTTGGGAGACTGAGGTGGGAGAATTACTTGAGCCTGTGAGGCAGAGGTTGCAGTGAGTCATGATCATGCCACTCACAGTGGGCAGCGGAGTGAGACCCCGTCTCAGCCAAAAAGAAAAAAAAAGAAATCATCTTCTCTTTTGAAAATGCCAGATGATGTAAGCTCTCATAGTACTTTAAGTGTCATAAATACTTTGTTTCATAAAAATTTGGAATGGGATTTATTCAGTCTATATTGAATATTAAATTGTTCAGGAGAGAAGTTTAGAAACTGATCCATTTATCCTCATAGTATAGTCCTGGGTCAGCAACATCATCTGGGAAATTTGGGGGAATGCAGATTTTCTGGTCCCACCCTAGACTTAATGAATCAGAAATTCTAGGGGAAAGGCCCAGCAGTCTGTTATAAGAGACTCTCCAGGTGATTCTGATGCATGTTCAAGTTTTAATACCACTAATCTGTTCAGTCTGTTACAGTTTGAATATTACTTTTCCAAAAGCTTTTAGCTAGCTCTAGAAATTTACTTTTACTACTGTTACATATAGCTTTCCAGGAAAATAAACATTTTTTTAAAACTCATTTTTCAGATAGGGGATACAGAAAAGAAACAAAATACTTGCCTTATTTAAGTCTGTTGTCTAAGTCATCATGTGTTTGCCAGGAAGATGGAGGTGTTGGGAGGGGAGAGGAGAGGGACTTTTGAGATGAATTTTCTCCTCCCTTATACTGTTTCTCTTTTATTAAGAAAGGTCAAATACTAAATAGTGATTTTTAAATGAGAATGATGTTGTCCTTATATCACGTATTAGTTTGAAACTATATCCAATAATTTTCAAAGAATTGGTTGCATATTGTTTCATCAACTTTACAGTCTTGTTTTAATGAACATTTACTAATAAAGATTTGCATTGAAATAATATCTAGATGAAATGGAGGTCTCACAAGAAGGTCCCTTCCTAGTTGCCATGCCAACTTTCTGGTATGTAGGCATTGGTTAGAAAGACATCTTTAAATGACATGATTTTTTCTTTGATTATGTGTTCAATTCCAGTAGCGTATTTTTGTCCTATGTAGTAAGATTAACATTAAAGACAGACAGTAATTTTAACTACTTTTGTAATGTACTTAATTTTAATTCTTTAGTATTATGTCTTTTATCTCTGTGTTTTGTGGAAGTTTCATAACTTAAATGTTTTTGAGGACTAAAGTTTGAAGGGACTGACTAGTAATTTTTTTAGTTTTTTGCATGAATTTACATTCTAATAAGCTGTAGTAAGCATTAGCTAAGTGGTACATCCTGCTTACATATTCATTTAGGTAAAGTTATTAGGATTACAGTATATAGAATGGGTGGATGATTTTGGTATATTCCTTTATCTTATAAATCTTATCTTACAGATCTCTGTCTTCTAAATCTAAGAAAATAATCATTTATTTAAATATAAAAACTAGATCAAATAATGAAGTTAAGTAGTGTCTCTGTTGTTAGAAAATTAGGTTATAGTATTTATTAGGAACATTTAATGCTCTGCTTTCCTTACTTTTCTCATTTACTTGGGAGTCTGGGTCTCTGCTAACTTGTATGGTTTGCTGGATTCTTTTAGTAATTTGGGAAACAGGAACGTAACCTCAGGATGGATGAGAGTTTCCGTTAGCTATGGGTCACTTTAGCAGACTTGTGGATTCCTAATGATTTCTGAAACTTCATGGCTGCTTTATGTATCTTCTTTAGTCTTGTTGGTTTTCTAAGTTTGGAATATGTTTTTATTGTATGGGTGGTTAAAATCAGGTGCTTCGGTGTCTTTTTTAAGGCCATATGCTAACTTAAGATTTTTTAAATCTAAGTCTCTTACTCTGATAAAACATGCATGTCAGAACATTTTTAAATAGAGTTAGCATATGTTTCCTTTGACTTGAAAACAATTTTGTTTTCTCTCTTTTTTTTTTTTTTTACATACATTTAGCTGATGAATTAGATTATTTTTTGGACTAATTTTGATGCAGTTTTTAAGATAGGATTTAGGAAACCATGCCAACTGTTTTAATTATTTATGGTATAAAAGTTTTCATGAAAAAGTTATTTTTAATTGTCTTAAATTTTTTTTATTTTCCTGCTTAGAAATCTATCATTTTTCCTCGACTAAATATAGTGAAAATTTGCATGCCACATAAATTGCTTTCATGTATCTCTTAAATTAAAAATGCTGAATTTAAATTTAGTATTTAGTAAATACATTTTATGTTAGGCTTTAAGGGCACATTTGGTCCCTGTAAATCGAGAATGTACATAGTTTATTTCTCAGAGTCACTCAATATTTGCTAATACCTGTAGAAGTAAATTATTCATATTTATGTTAATGTGCCCTGGGGGTGTATATATATGAATTGATTATTCCCCCTTTCTCTCCTTCTAGAAATCAAAGGAAATGTTAGCCTTTCCTCACTTCTGCCAACAATAGTAAAACAGTCAACACTTGAATGAACCAAAACATATTGAGCTTTACAAAAGTCAGTAATATCCATCATCTTGAGTTATCCTTGTACTACCTGCAGTATTAGAGAAAGAACCCCACAGATCAGTTTTCCTATTAAAATAACAACCTCAGGCATTGATTATTATATTTAGTTAGGATTAAATTCATGGCATTTGATAATTGTGTGTGCATAAGTGTGCTTTTTAACTGATGTCTAACTTGTGATTACAACTAGTGGGGGAAACCTTGTTATCAAGTTGTTAGACTGGGTTTTCATCAAGGAGGTTGTTGTATGTTATACTTGAATTGTTAGTCCTCTGCAAGAAAACAGAATGCTTCTCTTGAGTGAATAAGCCAGGATAATGAGGCGAGGGGTTTTATTTCAAAGTTCGTTTTGGTGATGGCATAAATACATAACAGGTTCTGAAATCCAGTTACTATATTAAATTTCATCACTTGTTTTTTAGGTATTCCAATAACTGTACCACCTCCAGGTAAAACTTTTTTCATGTTTTCTCCATCATTGTTAATAAACATGAAATTTTAAGCTTACAGTTACAGGAAGGATGGTGTTGATGTGGTTAGAATATGGAATAGGCTATTGGGATTTCAAGGTCCTATTTTCAGCTCTGCCTTTGCTTCATTCTAGTTTTGATTAAGATACTTAGCTTTCTTATACCTGTCTTACCCATTTCTGTAGAAATAGAGATTCTGAGAAAATTCTTACCTATTCAATTTGCAAGGAAAACAGTATAGGGTATAAAATAAAAATTTTCTTTAAAATGTCTTTACAGACTAATGAATTTTTTGATGTAATGTAGTGACTGCAAGAGAAGAGAAAGATAATTTATTTTGACTTTATCATTATTTCTGATTTTTAAATTTTAATCCTGCTAGCTTAACTTAGTATCGTGAGAAAATGTGTTCTAAACCACATAGCAACTAGACAGACAGCTGGTCAGGTGATTGTTCTTAGAGTGGTGATTGTTTATTGTTGTAATGTTATGATCAACAGGAGTTTATATGTGGCCCAGTGTTTTTGTTTTTGTTTTTGTTTTAACATTTTTGTCAGTTATTTCTTTTTATAGTGTGATATTACACCTAGTAGCAAGTGTGTTTTACTGAGTTCACTGTTACAAGCCAAAGTGTCTGAAGAGAATGAGAGGTGATAATGCTTGCAAGGGTGGGTCTCAGTTCAAAATGACTTAGATAAACAGAAAGAGTAAAGTTTAGGTAGCATAGGACAGTATACATATTTAGATGTGGAATAGAGGCATTGATTATGTGTGAATGTGTCTGAAAAAGACTCATCAGGGAAAGTCAAAGGAACCATTGGTGTGTCTTTTTAGTTTAAAGAACAATGTGGCTGTGAAGCTGTGTGAAGTAGGATTGCGGACTGTAGGACTAACGTGGTAATTGCCAAATGTTGTACTTTTAAGATGTTTAATAGAGGAGTTATAGATCATAAACCTGAATACAGTGGAGAGCATGGTAAACATCAAAACAGTTTGAAGCGGGGCTAAAAATTGATTTAAGTGGACCTTTGAGAAGGATTCGGACAACTGAGATTTATTTTTTCATAGAATTACTAAAACGGAGGCTTAGTGGAAGTGTTTTCACATAACTACAAGTTGATAGAAAATATGACAGTGGAATACCTCTTGTTCTCATTTAGGACAGTGTCTGAATTGTAGTGTGAGAGATTTAAGTTACATAATTTGGTGCATCTATAGTAGTGAGAGTTGTTAACACTTGGAAGGAATTGGTATCATAAGGAATTGACATCATAAGTTTTGGAATCAATCTTTTTCTGTTGGGATGATTTATAGGCAATCTGAATTTGAAAGTATAGTGTAGATAACTGTTCAGGTCCCTTTTAGTCCTATTATTCTGTGGTATTCCATTTAGGTATTGTGAATTTATTGAGAATGCAGACCCATGATGTAGAGGTACAAATTATATATCCGTTATAAACTAATCCACAAACTATATTATGTGCCTTTCTTTGTAAAATAGTTTGTTAGGGTTGTGCTATTTGAACATATTTTATGGTGGAAATTCTCAGCTTTGAGTACTGTACATTTACTGGTAAGACTTTATAAGTTACACATTTTAAGGAAATTTCTATACTTCTAAAACTTGAAATATTTTTTGAAAGAGGTAATTACTATTTTATCTGCTTTTATTCTAAAATATTTCAAATATATCTGGTGGCTACTGTTTTATGTATGGAAAAGGTAAGGCATTGAGATTATCTTTCTCATACTTACAAAATGGGCTGTGTGTGGTGCTGAAAATAAGACCCGTGTCCTGACTCCCAGTTTGTGCTCTGTGTATTAGACCAGACTGCTTATTTAAAGTTTTATTGTGCTAAAAATCTGTTTATAAGTTTGAGCTCCATTTTTCTGTCTATTATTACAACATAGAGAAGCACATTCATATCCCCAGAGAAATTTAGTGATGTGCAGCAACTTTGTTTCACTCTTGACATTTAGTGTACATTCTGTTAACATTTTTTATCTTATGATTGAATGTTTCAGGTTTTCCTCCTCCACCAGGCGCTCCCCCTCCATCTCTTATACCAACAATAGAAAGGTAAATCAGTTATGGATACTGATTTTTGATCATTGATAGCCTTTTGACAGAAGAACCATATACATATCTTGGAAATATTTTCAGAGAATTAATTTTATAAACACAGCATCTGTCTTGTAATTTGTAAATCTAGATCTAAGTTAGCTTTATATAAGATGTTGGACCTGTAGCCTGATATCAAAACAGGGCAAAGAAAACTAGAATCATAATATTTTGAAATAATATCTTGCTTTGATTTATGATACATTTGATTAAAGAAACTCCTAGACTGTTAAAAACCCAGCTACTGTCAGTTTTATGGGAAATACCAGCATAAATTACTGGAAATCATGGATAATACATGTCTCTTCTGGGATAAAGTAGGGAAAACTATTACAGGACCATAGTCAAGAAAAGCTGTATTATTCGTTGATACTGTGATCCATCTCAGCTTCCACAAAGAAGGACTGAATACATTCTGTGTGGCAGTAGCCATATTTCCGTATTATGTACTTATGGCTTATGTTAACCAGAATGCTGTACAAAAGAATATTTCCCTCATGAGTGGCAGCATGGTGTTGAACAGCATAGAAATCACACAGTATTGCTAGGCAAGGTTCATAAGCCCTTTGAGACTAAGTTTTCTTTTTTATCAAAAGGGTTGATAGAGTTGTGAATATTTTAAAATCTATTAAATATAAACTGCAAGTATAGTTCTTGGCAGATAAAAATCACTAATAAGAGCTATTGCTATTTCCTTTTAAGTAGCAAACTATTAAAAATAGTGTGTTTCTGAAAAAAATAATTCAAATGATGTAAAAAGACAAAATTTGTGAGAACTTTACATTAGTAGCATCAAACCCTGCATATGATTTTCAAAGGAAATGATAAAATAAGAAAGCATGAATTGTAAGAACATAAGGATTTAGCTTTATTAAGTCTCTGTTTTCTCAGTCAAAATGTTAAAAAATATTCTTTGTTGATCCTGTCAGTGGGGCTGAATTACTGATTTATAACCATTAAAACCAATTATTTAAGACTAAATTTTTAATCTGAAATATTTTGATAGCCTGAAAGTATCTGTTCCTTTACTTGTGACTCAAGCTAAATTGATTGGATTATTTATGTTAAATAGTTTTAGCACATTGTATTTTTCTGTAAAATTAGGTATTTTAATACTTTTTAGGTCAAAAAAACCACCCATGTTTTAGCATTAATTACATGGCTAAGCTGTCATTAAATTGGTGGTTGGATAAAAGTTGTAGTTTTTCCTTTTGCACTACATTATGAAAATTCAGAACTTATTTGTACCAGACATAAAAATATATCTTTTTCTTCAACAGTGGGCATTCCTCTGGTTATGATAGTCGTTCTGCACGTGCATTTCCCTATGGCAATGGTAAGTAGTAGTATTAGACGCCTAGATTCAGTTTGAATCAGTAAAGTACTTAAACATTTTTAAAGCAATAAAAACGTGTTCATGATTTGACATCTTACAGAGCAATTGAAAAGTATTAACTGAAGGAATGAATGGTCTGTGTATCTGCTGGGTTAGCAAACAAGAAACTTCATATATTTGTCAACTATACTTTTAAAAATTAATTCATGGTGACACAGTAGGGATATTTGTACTTTGCCTTTTCTAAAAGGATTTAAGATTTGTCACCAGTTTGTCTCAATTTTCATTGTTTATAATATTTCTATTTTTTTTGATTCGTTACATCCGTCTAACCTTTTTTCTATCTTTCTCCCTCACTGGTTTAGTTTTTTTCCTGTATCATGTTCACTCTTGGAAACTTTATCTCTTCCAAGGCCTTCTGATACCACTTTCTGCATCCCTTGATCAGTAATTTATTTCAAAATGTTGTGCATTATACCAATTTTTTTTTTTTTTTTTTTTTTTTGAGACACAGCATCATCTGTTGCCTAGGCTGGTGCGCAGTGGTGCTCTCATGGTTCACTGTAGCTTTGACCTTTTGAATTAAAGTGATCCTCTCACCTCAGCCTCCCAAGCAGCTGGAACTACAGTCATGCATCACCATGCCCAACTAGGCTGGTCTTCAACTCCTGGGCTCAAGCACTTCCCCTCTCTCAGCCTCCCAAAGTGCTGGTATTACAGGTGTGAGCCACCACACCTGACCTGTACTAAGTTTTAAGGATGGAGTAAGCTGTATAGAGCGCTTGCCCTCATAAAAGTTATAGGCTTATGGAGAAATAGCTGGGCGACAGGAGTTGGTGGGTGTAATGGGAGCACAGCAGAAGGGTCTACTCCAGAGAGGTGGAAGGGTAGATAATTTGATTCCCAGACTATTCAAAGATAAGGGGATGAGAAGGAACATGGTAGGTATTATGAATTGGAAAAAGTGTGTTGTGGCTGGAATGTAGAGACTGTGTGATTATGTAGGTCATTACAGCCATGCTGTGGAGTTTGGATCTTATTCAGAGGGCTGTGTGGAACCAGTTAGTTTTATGCTGAGTTGTGAAATTGTTACATTTACATTTGAAAACATCTTCAACATTTACATTTGAAAAAATCTTCATTCTGGCTAGTAACCATGAGGAAGTTATAAATTTAGAGGGTGAGTAGAAAGGTGGGGTTGGCCTTCTTGGATTGGAACAAAAATAAGAAGCTGTGGAACATGTAGTGGAGTGAAAAATGATTTTCTCTCTACTCTTCCTAGTTCTTAGAATGGACCCTATGTTAAAAGTCACCTTAACAAGAGAGAAAAGAACAAGTTTATTAACATGTATACGTCATATATACACGGGAAATAGCCAGGGAATGAGTAGTTCTCAAAGAGATGGCTTGGAAATCCAGGTTACGTAGCATCTTCAATACAGAACAGTGAATTTTTAGAGAAGTGACAAGAAAAAGGAAAAGGGCCTTGAGTCTTCATGAGCAGCCAATTGTGGAAAGGCAATATATAGAAATACCTACTAAATAAAGGCTAGTTGGTAAACGTTCTCATGCAGTTTCCTCTGGTACCTTGTCCAGGCAGATAAGGGGCTACATTTGTCTCCAGTGATCTACTTTTGGCCTTTCTGGTAGAGAGAAGAGGAGGGACACCTTTGTGTTTGTAAACTTATGTCATGCTTTTAGGTAAATTGGGGAGGACAGGGAGCTTTACTTGTATCTGCATCTTCTCAGTTACCTTCAGCTCAAAATAATCCTTACGTTAAAGAGGCATGCTTTGGGGTGATGCATTCTGGTCTCCTACAGAAGTAATCCAGGGGAAAAATTAGGATGTCATGTATTCAGTACTGTTGACGATGGAGATGGAGAAAATTGAATGGACTCGAAAGGATTTGTTTGATAGAATCTATAAGTCTTGGTGATAATTTGGAAACAGCTAGCAGTCATATACTTATAGGTATCTCTATTAGGGTATTGTACTGTCCTTCAGACTCTACCTGTTCAAAACTCTACTTGCCATTCATTCACTACAAAAGATGGTATTTATGTTGACTTACTTGTTTCAGTGACTGTATTCCTTCTCCTCCCCTTTTTTTGCTAGATATTTAGGTAATAGTCCTTGGATTGTAGTCTTGCTTCTACCTTTACTATTTATGTGACTTAAATATCTTCAGTTATTAAATGGACAGTTCAATCTTCCTTTTAATGTGGAGTTCATTGAAATACATTTAAGTACCTTAGTCCTGCCATTTAGTAAACCATGAAATATTAGCTCTTATTTTTATAATTATCACCCCCATCTCCACCAAGCTCCAAATCGCGCCCACCACCTCCTTTTCTGCACCCTTGAGACAATGTAGCCTCATTGTTAAAGCATAGGCCCTGCATTTACACAGCCTAGGTTTGGGTCCTGGGTTCATCTCATCTTAGTAGCTTTGAATAATAATGTACATCTTTTTTTTCCCCATCTGTAAAATGAACTTTGAGTATTAAGTACTTGGCATGGTGTCTTTAATATGTAAGCATTCAGTGAGCATCACTTATTAAAGTTTGATTTTTACTTTTTTAATGAGACTTGCCAGTTTCTATTTTGTTATTCAGTTCCTTGTATATTTGTTTCAATACAGATAAACATGAGGAATAGTCCATATTAGAAAGAGAGAGTAATTCTTGAGATTACCTATTCGGTTTTATTATGGAATATTTTATTTATTTTTATTTATTATTATACTTTAAGTTCTGTGGTACACATGCAGAATGTGCAGGTTTTTTACGTAGGTATATATGTGCCATGGTGGTTTGCTGCATCTGTCACCCTGTCATCTACATTAGGTATTTCTCCTAATGCTATCCCTCCCCTAGCTTCCCACCACCTGCTATCCCTCCCCTAGCCCCCCCACCTTCCAACAGTTCCTGGTTTGTAATGTTCCCCTCCCTGTGTCCGTGTGTTCTCATTGTTCAACACCCACTTATGAGTGAGAACGTGGTGTTTGGTTTTCTGTTCTTGTGTCAGTTTGCTGAGAATGGTGGTTTCCAGCTTCATCCTTATCCCTGCAAAGGACATGAACTCATCTTTTTTAAGGCTGCATAGTATTCCAAAGTATATATATATGTGCCACCTTTTCTTTATCCAGTCTATCATTGATGGGCATTTGGGTTGATTTCAAGACTTTACTATTATGAACAGTGCCACAGTAAACATATGTATGCATGTGTCTTTATAATAGAATGACTCATAATCCTTTGACTATATACCCAGTAATGGGATTCCTGGGTCAAATGGTATTTCTAGTTCTAGATCCTTGAGGAATCGTCACACTGTCTTCCACAATGATTGAACTAATTTACACTGCCACCAACAGTGTAAAAGCATTCCTATTTCTCCACATCCTCTCCAGAATCTGTTCTCTCCTGATTTTTTAATGATCACCATTCTAACTGGCATGAGATGGTATCTCAAGGTGGTTTTGATTTGCATTTCTCTAATAACCAGTGATGATGAGCTTTTTTTTTTTTCATGTTTTTTAGCTACATAAATGTCTTCTTTTGAGAAGTGTGTGTTCATATCCTTGACCCACTTTTTGATGGGGTTGTTTTTTTCTTATAAATTTGTTTAAGTTGTTTGTAGATTTTGGATAGTAGCCCTTTGTCAGATGGATAGACTGCAAAAATTTTTTCCCATTCCGTTGATTGCTGGTTCACTCTAATGATAGTTTCTTTTGCTGTGCAGAAACTCTTTACTTTAATTAGATCCCATTTGTCTATTTTGGCTTTTGTTGCCATTGCTTTTGGTGAGGTCCTTGCCCGTGCCTATGTCTGAATGGTATTGTCTAGGTTTTCTTCTAGGGTTTTTATGGTGTTAGGTCTTATGTTTAAATCTTTAATCCATCTTGAGTTAATTTTTGTATAAGGTGTAAGGAATGGATCCAGTTTCAGCTGTCTGCATATGGCTAGCTAGTTTTCCCAACCCGTTTATTAAATAGGGAATCCTTTCCCCATTGCTTGTTTTTGTCAGGTTTGTCAAAGATCAGATGGTTGTAGATGTGTGGAGTTATTTCTGAGACCTCTGTTCTGTTCCATTGGTCTATATCTCTGTTTTGGTACCAGTGCCATGCTGTTTTGATTACTGTAGCCTTTTAGTATAGTTTGAAGTCAGGTAGCGTGATGCCTCCAGCTTTATTTTTTTTTTGTTTAGGATTGTCTTGTTTATGTGGGCTCTTTTTTGGCTCCATAGGAAGTTTAAGGTGGTTTTTTCCAATTCTGTGAAGAAAGTCAATGGTATTTTTAGAAAATGTTAACTTGGTATTTTTCTCTAAGTAATACATGCACATTTTTATCAAAAAGTGAGAGTCTCCTGCTCACTCTTTCCTACTCCCAACTCTTCTCTCAGAGGCAAGGTCTTTTTTTTTAATGGAAAGCTTCTTTAGTAATAACAATCATAAACCATATTGCAAGAATTAAATAGAGGAAAGTTACAGGTTTCCTAGTAAAACAGGGCTTTAGAATATATTTGATAAATACAGCTTTTTTGTTGGTGATTCTGTTTTACCTTTGTTTTCTTTTACTTATTTTGGAATTTTGTAATTCGTCCTTATGCAATAGTAATTATAGATGGAAATACTAATATTTTCTCATTTGCATGGGCAGACTCCTTATGAAATAAAACCTAGTTAAAAAATAGACTTTGCAGGAATATTAAACAACTACAGAGACCAGCAGTTTTGATTGTTTGTTTTTAGTTCTCTCAGTGGTCTCCATGGCATTTCTACATATGCTTATCACCTTATTTCTTGAGTATATAACTTTAGATACCATCTGTTATCTTTCTATTATGATAGATGTATATTTTGCTCAGTTGTTATTACTACCTTTCTTTTTTCTCCCACCAGTAAAATTATATTACTATTTTTGCACCTCTTTTATATGCTTGCTGTTTCATGTACCATTCTACTGTGATAAAATGAGAATATTAGTGCATCTTTCTTTCACTGAACTCTTCTTTCCCCACCACCCAGCTTTGCTCAATTATACTTCTTCTTACGTTTATATTTTGTCTTATAACAAAATTTTTTTGTGTTCTGACAGATTTTTTATTCTAAAAGCTAAACAATAAATAGCATTTACATTATTATGAATAAGTAAATAATGTGCATTGCAGAGATAATTATATACCTTAGCTCCTCAAGGGAGAAAGTTACATGGCAAATAATTCAAATTACAAGTTGAGTATCCCTTATCAGAAATGCTTGGGAGGAGATGTCCCAAGTCTAAACATGAAATTCTTTTGTTTCATGTACAGCGTATATCTATAGCCTGAAGGTAATTTTACTCAATATTTTAAATACACTTGTGCGTGAAACAAAGTTTTGACTGTATTTTGACTGATAACCATCACATTAGATCAGGTGTGCAGTTTTCTACTTGTAACATTGTGTTGGCTCTCAGAAAATTCTGGATTTTGCAGTATTTTGGATTTTCACATTAGTAAATCTCAACCTGTACCAATTTTGTTCCTTGTGTGTTATCAGTTATGTAAAGTCTAACCACATTTTAGTGGGGTTTATATTTAGAACATGCCTTTCTTTGCCTCAAGTACATAAAGATAATTCTTTAATACTTTTTTTTTCTCCCAGAAAAAGTTTCCAAGTTTTGCTTTTCACATTTAAGTCATATGCCCATCTGAAATTAATTTTTTGGTGTAAAGATCCAACAGTTTTCAAATCATTTATTGAATAATCTGTCTTTCCTGAGGAAGCTACAGTTGTCATCTCTGTCATGACTGCATTTTCATATGTGTATGAACCTGGCTTTGGGCTTTCTAGATATTCAGTTGGTTAACTGTCCCTGTGCTAATAACTTCCATAGTATCCTTAATTATGAGTTTTAAAGTAAATGTTATCTCGTACAGCCAAATCAATTGTTATTTTTACATATGTATTTTAGATTCAACTTTGCAAGTTCCATGAAAAACTGTTGAGATTTTGATTAATAACATTTATATAGTGCTTACTACATAATGCTCTTTGGAGCAATTTATGTAATCCTGAGAGGGTTTTAAAATAGGTATATTGTTGCTATCTCCATTTTATAGATGAGGAAATAGAAGTATTAATTTCCACTTATCACACAGTAAGTAGCAGAGTCAGGATTTGAACCTATGTTGCCTGGCTTCAGAGCCCTTGCTTTTATTTACTATACCATATTAAAATTGTATTGATGCTCTAGATCAGTCTGTGTGGAATTCATACCTTTACAGCATTGAGTTTATCAGTGCCCAAGGACTTTCTCTGCATTTTCAGAGGTGTTCTTTGTTTTCAATAAACTGCTATAGTTATTTTCATGTACTTCTTGAATGTCTTTGGTTAGATTTAGTCCTTAGGTACCTAATATTTTTGTTGCTGTTATAAGTGGTATAAACATAAGAACTATGTGTTCTGTTTATATTTGCTTGTATTCAGAAATAGTTTGGTTGGTTTTTTTTATAGCCATTTACCTTGCTGAACTCTCACTATAATTTGTTGTCTATTTAGGAAATATGCTTGCAGATAATGACAGCTTTGCTCCTTTTTTTTCAGATGCTTGTTTGTCCCTTTTTTTTGTTTTATTTGTTGTGGCACAAACCTCCATTATAATATTATAACAACATTATATTATAACAAATTAAATTATAACAACATTATATTATAACAAATTAAATTATAACAACATTATAATATTGAAGTACTCAAAGTGGAATTCTTGTATGATTCCTTTTTACTTTATAAAGGAAATGCTTCTAGGTATTTACTGTTAGGTTTCTGATAGAACCATCAGATTAAGGAAATTCTGTTCCTCTCCTAATTTTCCAAGGGCTTATAAACCGTGAATAGATACTGAGTTGTATGAATGCTTTCTGAAATGATCATAATTGTTTTTCTTCTCTAATCTGTTAATGTGACAAATTACATTTCTATATTCTTCTAATGTGTAGCCACTGTTGATTTGCCAAAATAAACCTAACTTGCTCATGATTATCTTTTTTTTTTCTAGATAAACACTGATAGTGTGTTTCTTATTTAGGATTTGGACATCTAAGTTTATATGTTTAATAAGATTGGCTTAGGATTTCTCGTTATTTATACTTTCCTTACCTGATTTTGGAACCAAGATTATACCAGCCACATGGGATAAGTCAGGGAATAATCTTTTTTTTTTTTTTTCTATCTCTCTTTGCTGGGAGTTTGTGTGATATTGGAATGGTTTGTACCTTCACTCAACTGTAAAAGGCATCTGGCCTTGTAGGAAGATTTTAGATTACTGATTTAATTTCTTTAATAGTTGCGAGACTGTTTAAGATTTCTTTTTCTTTTTGAGTCAGTTTTGTTTGGTAAATTTTTATTTTTAGGAGTTATTCCATTTCAGATAAGTTTTTAAGTGCGTTACTATAAGGTACAGAGTATTCTCTTTATTGTTTAATCTGTGTTGTCTGTGGTTGTGGTCCCTTTTTGCTTCTGATACTGTTCATGTGTTCTCTTTTTTCTTAATTTTTTCATAAAATTGTCATGGTTCATTTCATGTCTAGTCTTCAAAAACCAACTTTCTGCTTTTTTCTATTATATGGTAGTTTTCTATGTACTTGATTTCCATTCTTTATTATTCCTCTTTTGTTGGATTATTCTGTTTTTCTGAGATCTTATATTGGAGACTTAGCTCATTAATTTTTACTCTTTTCTAATGTGGTGTTTGAAGACTAAATTTCTTTCTGAAACAATTTGTATCCCTAAACTTTTGATATGTCTTATTTTTGTCTATGTTTAGTTCCTAATGATTTAAATTTATGATGTTTTTGACCCATGAATTATCAAAAATATGTTTTTAATTTGAAATGGTTAGGGATTATTTTCTCAAAACTTTTGAATTTGACTTCTAACTTAAATTGCATGGTGGTCAGAGAACATATCTGTTATATTCATCTGTGCTTGAGAAGAATAGTATTCTTTGTTATGGGCAGTATCCTATGTGATGTCCATTAAATTAACCATGCTAAGAACATGTAGCTCAAGTCTTTATTTACATGGTGGTTTGCGCCTGTAATCCTAGCTATTTGGGAGGCTGAAGAGAGCAGATCACTGAGCCTGAGGGTTCAAGGCTGCAGTGAGCTATGAATACACCATTGTACTCTAGCTTGGGTGACAGCAAGACCTCATCTCTTAAAACAAAAACAAACCACTTCTATGTTTGTACTGATTTTTTTGTCCACTTAACCTACCAATAATTGAGAGAAGTATGTTACATGATCATGATGGGATTCTCTGTTTCTACCTGTATTTCTATTAGTTTTTACTTTCTAAAACTTAGGATGATGATGTTATTTACCTGGAAGTTTAAATTTGTTCTGTTTCCTTGGTAAATTGCATGGTCCATCTTTATGTGATCATCCTTTCTTTCCTAGGTAATTCTTTTAATATGATTCTGTTCTATCATTAATAAAGGTACTTTTTTTTTTTATCACGGGTTGTAGATTTTTTCATCTTTTTTCTTTCAGCCTTTCTGTGTGTTTTTATGTTGTTTGTATTCAGATTATAGTTAGGTTTTTAAAAAGTACAAATCAACACCTTTGTTTTTTAACTGATGAATTAGTCCCTTTTTATTACTGAGAATATTTAGCTATTTGAACTTAACTTTCCATCTATATCTTTCTCAAGTCTTCTTGAATTGACTTTCTCACTGATTTTTTAAAAAATCCTATTTTCCTCTACATTGTTTTGAAACTATAAATTTTCTTTTTCTTTTCCTTGTGGTTACTCTTGAAATTTATTATTCATACTTAACAATATGTAGTTTCATATAATTTGAACATCTTTCTCCATCAATACAGAGTCCTTAATCTTTCTCTCCTAACTTATATTTGTTTGTATTTTGGTTTATTATTTTAGTTTTATTCTTTTAAAAAAATTCCATTACTGAATAGCATATATTATTTGTTTGGATTTGCATATATGATTACCATTTGTTTGTTCAATCATTACTTCTTTTCATCTTAGATCTTCTAGGATAATTTTTCTTTTTCTCTAAGTATGTCTGATCTTTTGGTGAAGTCTGTTGGTTGTAAGTTTTGCTTATTTTTGTTTACAAAGGCTGTTTTATTCTTGAAATAAATTGATGAATACACTTTTCTAGGTTGATATTTTTTCTCAACACTTTTTTTTTTCCTTTTTTTTTGAGACAGAGTCTTGCTCTGTCACCCAGGTTGGAGTGCAGTGATACGAACTCTGCTCACTGTAACCTTCGCCTCCCAGGTTCAAATGACTCTTCTGCCACAGCCTCCCAAATAGCTGAGATTACAGGTGTGCACCACCACGCCTGGCTAATTTTTATATTTTTAGTAGAGATGGGATTTCACCATGTTGACCAGGCTAGTCTGCCCACCTTGGCCTCCCAGTGTTGGAATTACAGGTGTGAGCCATCATGCCTGGCCTCCTCTCAACACCATCCTGGTGTATTTCTCCTCTCAACACCGAAGATGTCCTGGTGTATTCTGGTTTCCATTTTTTATGTTGGGAAGTTTGTGGTCAACCTAATTCTGATTCCTATTTACCTTGCATAATGAAGGGTCTATATATGTTAGGCCTTTAAGATTTGTTTCTGGATCTTCCCCTGATACTGTGGGTATTTATTCACCATGTGATAATTCTCTTTTTTATTTATAAAGTTAATTTGTATTATAATCTAATGACATATTTTTGGTAGGCATTTCCTTTGTTTCTTTTAAGTACCATAACATTTGTTTTTAACTGTATTTTTTCTTTAGTTGCCTTTCCCCATCTTCCTGGTTCTGCTCCTTCATGGCCTAGTCTTGTGGACACCAGCAAACAGTGGGACTATTATGCCAGAAGAGAGAAAGACCGAGATAGAGAAAGAGACAGAGACAGAGAGCGAGACCGTGATCGGGATAGAGAACGAGAACGCACCAGAGAGAGAGAGAGGGAGCGTGATCACAGTCCTACACCAAGTGTTTTCAACAGGTTTGTTGGGTGTGCAAGAGTTTATACTATGTATTTCATAACCACTTTCAAATTTATTTTTGTTATGAGGAGGTGAATTTCAGTGCACTTGGAAAAGAGATGCTGAAGGAGTACTTAGGAAGGCCACCTTAAAATATTAGGGATTAGAGGCTTCCCATTACCGTGAACAGCAGTCTTTAAATTTGTTTGTTCACTATCTCTTAAAAGAATTTTTCACACCTTCACTTACTTTTATCTTGCCATCTAAGTTTTTCATCTTAAGCTTAGTTGACCATATAGATATTTCCAGTGTATTATAAATATTACTATTTAAAAATAAAATTATTGCCACTTTTATTATTATTCAGTTTTTAGAGACAGGGTCTTGCTTTGTCACGTAGCCTGCCTGGAGTGCATGCAGTGGCATGATCATAGTTCACTGCAGTCTTATATGGGAAGAAGATGCCATCTAAGACTTTAATAGCTAGAGAAGAGAAGTCAGTGCCTGGCTTCAAAGTTTCAAAGGACAGGCTGACTTTCTTGTTTCCTAATGCATTGTTCCCTAATGTAGAAAGTCCTCGGCTTAAGTGTTCCTCCTGACTTAGCCTCTCAAGAAGCTAAGACTACAGGCATGCATCACCATGCATGGCTCATTTAAAAATATTTTTGTAGAGACAGGGTATTGCATTGTTGCCCAGGCTCACTCTTTTAATGTATCCAGTGGATTAAAAACATTATAGTGATTTTCCAAACATCATTGACCATTTTTTAAAGAAAATGCACAAATAGTATCTCTTTTAAGAGTTGGAAATTTTACATTTCTTTTTGTGTTCAAATTTTTACTTCTATACCACTTCTCCCAAAGAATTTTGTTCAAATATAAAAGTTTCATAATCTTAAAACTTTTAAAATGGGTTTTCCTATCAGTCTTTCCTGCAGCACACTTATTACATAAGTTTAAATGTTTAAAGACATCTGTCTTATAAGTGTTTTAAAAATTTTTATTCTGATTTTAGTTATTTTTTTTTGCATTCTGTCAATGCAAACCACATGTACAACATTAGTTTCATAAGATTACTATTTTTATTGTATCTTTTCTATAGATATGTTTAGATAAACAATGTAAACATTATGTGTTACAATTTTCTACAGAATTCAGTGCAATAATATGCTGCACAGATTTGAAGCCCAGGAGCAATAGGCTATAACATATAACCTAGTATATAATAGGCTATAACATCAAAGTTTGTATAAGGACACTCTGTGGTGTTTGCACAACAATGAAATCACCTCGTAATGCATTTCTCAGAACACATCCCTGTCATTAACTGACACATGACTATATACATATACTGTAAATTTGGAAAATAATATAATAGAACCACATCCTTTAATGAGAAGGAAGAGCTTTCCTCCATCTCCAGTGAGTATTACTATTGTTAGGAAAAAACAGAGTTTGTTCAGAATACTTAAAATATGCAGTAAACCATCCTGTAAACAGATGTGCTGCCATTTAGGCTTTGGTTTTCCATTGATAGAGACAGGCAGAGTCCATTTAGCATAATTCTAAGGACTCTAGGATTTTCAGAATGGCAAATTAGCACCAACTTCAACTTACAGTCACCAGCTCCGTTAAGGAACAATGTGCTGGGAAACAAGAGAGTCAGCCTGTCCTTTGAAACTTTGAAGCCAGGCATTGACTTCTCCTCTCCAGCTATGAAAGTCATGATGGCATCTTCTTCCAGTATAAGGCTATTTAATCTACATTGAAAATGTGTGGTTTAGTGGAGCCACTTTTATCAGTGATTTTAGTTAGATCTTCTGGATAACTTGTAGCTTCTATATCAGCACTTCCTGCTTCACCTTGTACCTTTATGTTATATAGATAGCATCTTTCCTTAATCCTTAAAAACCAACCAACCTCTGCTACCTTCCGTTTTTTCTGCAGCTCCCTCACCTCTCTCTGCCTTCATAGAATTGAAGAGAATTGGGCCTTGCTCTGGATTAGGCTTTGGTTTAAGGGAATGCTGTGTGGCTGGTTTGTTCTTCTGTCCAGACACTAAAACTTTCTCCATATCAGCAATAAGGCTGTTTTCACTTTCTTAACCATTCATGTATTCACTGGAGTAGCACTTTTAATTTTCTTCAATTTTTTCTTTGGCTTGACAGCTTGGCTGTTTGGTGCATGAGGCCTAGACTTTAGTCTGTCATTACTTTCGACATGCCTTCCTCTCCAAGCTTCATCATGTTTAGCTTAATCATTTTTAGCTGTTGATTTAAAATGAGAGATGTGCAACTCTTCCTTTCACTTGAACACGTAGAGGCCACTGTAGGTTTATTAATTGACCTCATTTCAACATTGTTGTTTCTCAGGGAATAGGGAGACCTAAGGAGAGGGAAAGGGAGGGGCTAAAAAGTGGATCAGTCAAGAACATGTACATTTATTAAGTCTGCCGACTTATATGGATATGGCTCATGGAACCCCAAAACAGTTACCTTAATGCCTCAAACTAGATCTTTTTCAGAGATATTGTAACAAATTACTGAGTTTATTTTGTTGCAAAAAAAGGAAGTCATGCATAATTTTTTCATAGTATGCATTTCCTTGAACTTATGAAGAGCCCTCCTATTTTCAAGCTGACTAGGATTGGTTGGTAGCTTAAAACATTACATAAAAAAAATGCACAAGAAGGAACTCATGAGGATTTGTTCATCTTTTTCCTTCGTTTGGCTCCTACTAATATGACTTACACATTGTAGGTACTTAATAAAATTTGATTGACCAAATAAGTAAACACTATGATAAGTGTGTGTGCATGAGTATATTGTTCGTGTTTGCTTGGTGGGAAATGTGCTGTTGACGTTAGCTCATTTAAGCACATGATATTTTTAAGTTTAAGGGCATTACTTTCCAGAGAGTTGAATTGTTTATATTGTGAAAATATTTGAGATGGCATTGCTATCTCTAGAATGTACATGTATTATAAATAAGGAGCTTAATGCAAAACTTGATAGGAAATTAGAGTAAGATAAATTGCCAGAGCTCATAAATTTTTGCATAAATAATACATTGTAGAAGATTTGGCTAAATCCTCTAATTCTACTTCAAATGTATGCACAGATATTACTGAGTTCTTATTGAAACTTAAAAGTGTTAATGGTTAAATCATGTTTGACATTGAGGTTGCTGAGCTGTAGGGCATTAGCAGTCAATGTTTACCTAAATTTGACTAAAATGTTTAAAGCCAGAAAGGCAAAAAGTAGAGGAATTTTGGGTTACTCTGAATTATCCAAGGAAAAAATTATACCTGGAAAAATTCAAGTGTAGTATAAGTAAACGTTTCTGAAGGCTGATATTTTAGCAATATGACCTGCAGTATATGTTGCTTTACAAATTATAGGGCCATTGTTTTGAAAATTATAGACCAGTTTCAACATCTGTTTTTTAGGCAGCTTAATTATGGGCCAGAAAGAAGGCTGGTCATTTTAGGATGTTTGAAATGAGCTTTAATTTCCAGGTCCAGAAAAATCTTTGTGGTTCAGCCACTTATAAGAAAAGGGGATGGAAGGAGGAAGGTCTTTATATTTTGTGTGTAGGACTCAATCTTCTACCATCTGTTACAAGGTTCCCATCACAGGGCTGCTTTCAGAATCTAAAGTCTCCAAAACAAACAGAGGTTGGTTTTAGGGTAAGAGGAAAAAGAGAGGGTTATAAATGATGCATTATGAGATAATTGACTTTAATTATTTTTATGTAAATCTAGTTGGAGTCATTGAAAAGCCTCACTTTTGGAGAGGAGTTAACTCTATTTCCTATGGGGCTAGTTTATTCTACTTCAAGACATGGTAATAAAAAGTTCTGCTTCTGAAAAAATTAAGCATTAAATTCACCAAAGACTGCCATTTATTGAGTGCCTACTCTCATACCAACCACTTTATAAATGTTGTCAGTTCTACAGAAACCTTTAAAAAGACTGTTGGCAGTTTTACAGATGAGAAAACTGAGGTTTAGAGAGGATAAATAACAGCCTGGGTCACTCAGTAAGTGGCAAGATCAGGATGTGATTCTGTGTGTACTCTGCTTGTACTCTTTGCTGCTGCTCTCTACTGACTGGCACGGCTATTACCTTCCAGGCGACATGCGTCCACACTCCAAGTACAAAGTGCATATTTATGGTTAGGAAAAAATAGTGGAAATACATATACACATATGTGCAAATGGATATGTTAATACATTTTGTTTTTTAAATAAGATTCTAAAATTTTAATATACCACATATAATGACTCGGTTAGCAGTACGATTGGGCATTAAGCATAGCATTACTGAATCATTACTTTAGCTAAAACACAGGCTGACCTGTCTTTTAAAACATGGCTTATAATTGTCACCTATGTTAAACCCTGAGATTCCTTACCATCTTGATGTTTCATACAAATTACTAGTTTAATAATTCATATTAAACATTTCTAGAAATCAAAGCTCTTCAGCATACTCTTCTAAAAGATTTTATCCTAGTGAATTTACTGATGTTAGATTGTACAAAGTGTTGATTTCTATGCTAAACAAAGAAGAGAGAAGAAATGAGAGACTTGAAGGATAAGGAAAAAGATGGAAAGAGAATGTCAGTTAAGGGACATGAAAGGAAAAGAGGTCTAGGGAAAGGAAAGACCACCCTCTAACACTAGCCATTAGTCTCAGTTTTACCAGTCTGTGTAATTCAATCCAAAATCAGAAAATGAAGATGCAACTTAACGCAGTTGAAGTTATTAGCCGTGTGGTGCTCGCGCATGCGCACACACACACACGCACGTACACACGTAATTAGGGTGTCAGAATGCAGGTGTGTCCAGTCTGCGTTTTGTATAGATACTGTAGAAGTTGCTTTGATGTCTCTTCTGTATTTGGATATTTTTTAATGATAAACCTAAAGTTTAAAAACTTCGTTTGCTTTCTGCTTTGTAGTCATTGTGAGTTATATATTTTTATAATGTTTTATGTGTGTCCAAGTCTCTAAGAATATTGGTTAGAAATCTGAGATATACAAATATTCTAAAAGGAGCAAAAATTTTAAAAGCTGATAATTTAAATCAGTTGCAGATCTCATTTTCAAGAAATGAAAAAACAAAAGCATTGTTAAATCTTTTTAAACAGCAGTGAAAGCACAGAACAAAATTGGCCATTTAACATGGATAATTATTATATATTTATATTCTTAGCTCTAGTGTTATTTTGAGAACAAGCATTGTTTTCCTCTCAATTCAACAAATATATTTATTCCTCACCAATGTTGTAAAAGATGCTAATGTAGGGATTTTTGGTTTGGACTTCAGATCACATTTTCCCTTTTACAGTTTGAATCCATTCAGAGTTAATGGTCCAGTTGTCAAGAAAACATTTCTATTTCTGTTTCAGTGATGAAGAACGCTACAGATACAGGGAGTATGCAGAAAGAGGTTATGAGCGTCACAGAGCAAGTCGAGAGAAAGAAGAACGACATAGGGAAAGACGACACAGGGAGAAAGAGGAAACCAGACATAAGTCTTCTCGAAGGTTTGCTCTTTAATAAATAGTGAACCAGTAGTATGTGAGAGATTCTGACTTACTATATTATCGCATTGGAAGAGAGGAAATTTTGGTCTATGAACCAATCTTTAATAAGTTATGAATCAAAGCAGTGCCTGGTTTCATTAAAGAAAAATTCAGGGCTTTGTTGCAAATTTTTTTTAAAAGCAATAAAATAACTATTGTTTGCCAAAAATCAACCCTATACAGTATTTCCAGTAGTGCTTGTTTCTGTTACTGTATATTATAATATGCATTTAGAATAAGCTGTATAGGCACTGGGAATCTGAGATAATATCAGTGAAGATGACCCTATAATCTAATCACTAGGTAAAAGTCACATAAAAACTGATTATCTCCCACACTGTATTTATGAGAAAATGCATGATTTTAAACTTAGTGTTGTATTGAGAATTTCCTTAGAGTGGTTTTATTTTTGTCACCGATTGTGCATTTAAACAGAACACACGTTTTTGTTTTTTTCCAGTAACAGTAGACGTCGCCATGAAAGTGAAGAAGGAGATAGTCACAGGAGACACAAACACAAAAAATCTAAAAGAAGCAAAGAAGGAAAAGAAGCTGGCAGTGAGCCTGCCCCTGAACAGGAGAGCACCGAAGCTACACCTGCAGAATAGGCGTGGTTTTGGCCTTTTGTGTCTATTGGTACCAGAAGTAGATACTATAAATCTTGTTATTTTTCTGGATAATGTTTAAGAAATTTACCTTAAATCTTGTTCTGTTAGTATGAAAAGTTAACTTTTTTTCCAAAATAAAAGAGTGAATTTTTCATGTTAAGTTAAAAATCTTTGTCTTGTAATATTTAAAAAATAAAAAGACAGCAATGACTTTATATCCAAGAAAGGAATGTGAATGAGTCACTTAACAGGGAATCCAAAGAGCTGTGTTAGCTTTGTACCTATACAATATCTGATCAAAGGTCAAGGTTCCACTTTAACCAGTGTTTTTGTTGTTGTTGTTGTTAACCAAATACCAGTCTCATAAGAGGCTGTACAAGAGGCAACAAAGGGTCCCTCTAAGGCTTGAGATTAAAACTGGTCTTTATCATTACTGCTGTGACACTCTTGCTTAGTATATTAAGAGACTTACACATTTTTGATATCACAGCTTTTTGATGATAGCTTTTCAATGTTCTAAATTTGGGATCCTGGTGAAACTAAAAGGGGTACACTTTCACATCCAAATTAATAAAACCTATAAGGCATTTGGGTGGCCTCTCTGAAATAAATTACCCTTAGCGTAGTTTCTAGGAGGCACATGTACAAACAAACACTCTTTATTGTGACACAAATTATTTGAATCGCCTCATGACCATCTATAAAAGCCAGGGTCAAGCTGGTTTGGCCTTCTTGATGCATTTTCCAAAGCCCATTGGTAGACCAGCACAAGTTTTTATGCAGTTACTATTGTGGAAAAAAATAAGAGCTTTAGCCATTTCTTATTAAAACTAAGAAAACAAGTTTCTAATTCTCTGAGCATTTTTAGGGATAACCCTAGGAGGTATTTGTCAGTGATGGTAACAAATAACATGGTATTTGAAAGAATAAATTACTAGGACCTTTTAAATGGTAATATAGGTAACCTTAATTAGTATCACATACTAAAAGACAACTATAATTTTTGAAAAATATTTATTTCTTGTTTGATGAAAACGTTTCTCAGCAATGCATTTTAAAAAATCTTTTGGCTTTAAATTAAAAATGTCCATAATGTACCCTTGGCAGACTTCAGCCTATACCAAATTTTAAATTTAAATCAATTTGAATTCAGTGGGGTATACAAATCATTTTAGCTGTTTTAGGGCATTTTATTGAATAGAAAAATATAAACAAAGTTGTGGAGTAATGAGAAATCTTCCACACCAAAAAAAGAAAAACTGGTAGTTTTTATTTTTTTTTGGAATCTTATTTTCTGAGGTGTAACTGGCTTTCATTAGATCACACTTTTCCTGAAATTTTTACAATGTATTATTTAAATATAAAAACTGACAAGATAAATACAGTGTTTCAACTTAGCTTGTGATTTTTCTGTTTTTCTCTGACCCATCATTGATTCTATAAAAAAGTGCCAGGCCAAGAAACAATAGTTAGAGTAATTCTTCCTTTAAGTTGTTTCAGCATTCTTGCCAAGCACGCATGTGTCATTCCTGATGTACTTCTACCATTGACAGCAAGAAGAATATCACCACATCTAGAAAAACAAAGATATGATTAATATTTTAATTCATTGCTGAAGTTAAAGTTTATTTTAGTGGTCCTAGTTTTTGCTATATCTGACCATTTTAATTTTATTACCTTCTAATTTAGATATTTCTTGCCTCTTATTTACATTCTCTAAACTCACTATACATTCAGCCTATGTTAGAGGGAAATGTATGGGAATTTGTAGTGTGGTGCCAAGAACATGTATAATTATTTTGGATTTCTCAGAAGTTGAATGCTATATAAATACTTTAAATCCCCACAAAGTATAATAAATACATGCCTTATCTCAAATAGGCTAAACTTTTGCATTTATGAAACAACAGTTAAGTTTTTTTTGGTTAGTCATTATTACCTAATTCTTCCATCATTGTATGCTGGTGTTCCTTCAACAATGGATTTGATGAAAAAAGGTTTGTTTCCATTGTATTCTTCATAACCTCCTACAATGCAGAAGCCCAGACTTCCAGCAGTGTTTCTTCGTAATATAATATCTTTACAGTTATACAAGTACCTGAAATAGAATGTAATCAGTGTACATCCACATTTAAGTTTTACAGCTAAGGGAATACTTACTGTGATTCATCCTCCATTCCTTTTGTTGGTATTTTAAAGGCTAGTAGCACTGCATAGGTCCCACTCAAAATTGTATCATAACTTGGTGACTTTTTGTGCTAACTGGCTTTTTGTAATTGAACCTCTGTTTTCCATAATTTTGAACATCCTTAAAAAAGTGACACCCCTATTGTATTGTTATACGTTTATTGGGAAAGATAATCATTTTTAGCTTAAAAGAAGACACTGCTCAAATTTGTATTAGCAAAAAGGTGGATAGGCCTAATCCCTTATTGATGAAGAAACGGATGTCATATTTTTGAAATAATTTTTAATGAAGGCTAAAATCCTTTGAATAATCTCAATGAAAGCAATTTAAACCTAATCCTAATAAATGAATTTGTATACTTTGACTTTTGAAAACCAGTTTACACCCATTTCTACATGTTTGATAAGTCATAGAGAAGCATTTAGGCATAAAGTGAATGGAAACAGATACATTTAAAGATTATGAGAACAATTCATATAGAAGGAAAAACAAACTGGCAGTAAACTGGATCAGAAGTTATAAAAGGAATAGGAGAAGGAAAGGCTCAGCTCTTCTGTAAATTAGTAGAATCCTCAGTAAAATAGCAAATGAGATTGAAGAAGTTTTTATTCAGTGGCCTCCAATGGACAAGTGTTAACTATGTTACAGTTGCCATAGAAGTGTGTGTCAGGAGCTGGATTTTATTCTAAGATGACCTTGTTCACCATATGTCTAGCCGTAGTCCAGGAACTGGTTTGAAAGGAAATTAGCATTTTCATGTTGGCAAAAATCAAGATATGGCTATTTTGTTTATATACTGTACTTAAAAATATTAACTGCTTTTTAAAAACCAATAAAAAGTCTTGTGAAATGTTAAGTGATAAAGTTGATCATTACATGTGTCACTGACCTTGTTAGCCAATGTAACGTGACTTTTTTCATGATGTTTTCACTTGAAATAAAATGAGCTTTAGGGTTGGTTTGGCCAATAGCTTTAAAATGTAATGCTGAAGTTCAACTCTAACGAGTTCTGAATCTGTTGTCATACATCATCTATAATAGTCAATTTCTTTTACTGAAATGATTGCTTAAAAGTATGAATTTCATTAAATTTCATATTTTGTAAAATATCTGCTGACTGACAGTAAACCTTGATGTCAGTGGTAAATTCATTCTTTGAGAGCTGTGGTGTGTCAGATACACATTTTATATAATGGTTCACTGACTCCTCATGTACCAGGTAACTGGCTATTCTGTAAATACCAAAGCATTATATTCCCACCTGCGAGGATATGTGCCCAATTTTTTGGAGAAAGGTAAAAATTAGATAATTGTTATCCAAGGTCATGATCAAATATCAGTTTTAACATTTCCCAGTTGTGATTCTTTAAAATATATAAATGAGTATAAAATATATACATCATAGAACAATATTTGAAACTGTTTCTCCTTCTTTTGACCATTGTTTTTTTTTTCCATTACGTATCTCCTTGGACCTTACACTTTTACTGAATATTTAATTTCTTATGGAGAAGCTGTAAACATAACCATCTAAAACTTTGTATATTCTGCTTCAAAGCTTTGAACCCAATAAGTCAGTGTGTCTATTTTCCTAGCCTCTAGATACTGGAAAGAACATAACTGCTTTGATCATCTTTCTGCAGATGTTTAAACAACACAAAATGCTCTGTCCTCCTGAAGCATCCATTCAAGTAGATATCAGGGTTACTAGTTTTATTTCATTAAAAAGTAAGTGTTTTCCTTTAGTGGTGTTGAGTATTTAACTTTATTGCAGCAGTGAGAACTCCATGTTAACCCGTTTCAGTCAGACCTTGGTTAGTTGGGTCTGACTTTGTGGGCATGTTTTTCTTAAGTTGGGTTATTTCACTCCCCACTGGGAAATGTGGCAGCTTTTTTTTGGTCAGTGACCTCTGAGATACTAGGTGGCTTTAAACTCTGAATGTAAATGTAGGCTTTTTTCTTATTCTGAACTCAGTCTGTAAATTTAGGCCTATCAAAGATTTGGCATAGTATAAGGAATAGCAAGGAGTTTGGTAGTTTTTCCCAGTAAGAAAATTAACTTCAAGAACAAATTTAATGAAATGAGTTAATGATTATGATGACTCATTTGATTTCCACTGAAATGAGTTAATGAGTATTGTGAAGTCTTGAGCTGTTCAAGAAGCTAAGTTTTTTCTAATTTTTGTATATTCCCTTTATTACTAATTGAATCAATACATATTTGAGAATACTGCCTGACCGTGAACAAAGTCTGCAGACTAGCAACAATACTAAGGCAGAGCCTATTCCCTAAGAAAAACACTGTTTAGAAAATAAACCGAGTGCATCAACCAAAGCCAGTTGTGGGATCCTATTTCTTTCTGATTTAAATTCTTTTCAATTTTTCATTGCTAAGTGGTGTTAGAATAGGAGAGGTTAGAGAGACAGTGGATGTAGGATGTTTTGAGCTCTTTGTGAGAGCAGAAAATTGGAAACTGAATCTATAGAAACAGTCCTTTCACAAAATGCCTTATTGTTTTGCTAGCCCTGTGTTCAGAAAGATGACTTAACTTCTTGGCCCCAGTTTATATGTAACTATGACCATTAACTTAATGGAGTCCAGTGAGTAATGTAGAGCCTCCTGCTATGATTAACCTAGCATTTACTCCCTTTTCTGGATCAGGTGCCTCTCAGTCTGTGGTGAATGACCACCTTTTATTTATTTTTCTTAGTTTGTTGTAGACTAATACTTTCATTAAATAAAAAATGAATTTCTAGAAAAGTGAAATCTTTAACCCCAATTTTTCTTGTACCTAGCAAACATAAAATGTTTTAATATAATCAACATAAAAGGAAAAAGAAGTATGACAACTATGTGTTGTTCATTTAAGATGTTTATGGGAGATCAATATGGACAATCACTGTTTGTTAGACTCCTAACTCTGTGTTCCTCAATTTTCCTAAAGTTATGAGAGAAATGCTTAGTCCCAGTGTTAATGTCTATATGCATACTTTGAACAAACAGGTATAGCAATGTTTAATGTAAGTGAGGTTGCTTGCTACAAGGATAAAGGATATCTAAACCATTTTCTACTACACTGTTAGCAGAAAAGCCAGTCTCACATAGATGTGTTCAGAACAGAAGATTTTAAAGCAATTTTAGTAAGCTCAGGCAAGTAATGATTTAACTTCAAAATTTGTCTTTATTTCTCAATGATAGCCAATTACAGCAATTTATGCTATAAAGTTATAGTCAAATTTAAATTACCTCAATGACATAAATTCTGAATTCATGAATTTCTTCTGTGTTGGTTTTCTATTCTGAAAATCAACATTCCATAAAATCTGTAAGATGTTTGATAACTTTGAAGCTGTGCAATATCAAATTTATCACCTACTTTATTGATGATTGTTACCAAGTGACAAAACAGTTTATGGAAGCTGTTCTTCCAAGCGTCTTTCATTTTGCCCTTCAGTGTTATTGACCACTGAAAAAAATCATGCATTTTTTTCCTTGCAGGAAATATTAAGCTCAGTAAAAATATTGAAGATAATGTGGCAAATAAGCAAGTTTGGGCATCCATTTTACATCTTTAAATGGACCAAACTGGCTTCCTATCTTGCAGAAAAAATAAGGGTTTGATCTGTGGTTCAAAGGTTTTTGACAGAACCTTTATAAGCCTGTTACTCAGCATGCAATAATGGTTTGTTATGATTAGCTTCCTTATTATTACATAATGAAGAGAATAAATTAGAATTTACTGCACTAGCCTTTATGTAGCCACAATTTTTACTATGTCACTAAACACATTATTTAGTTTGGCTGACATCACAGCAAAATCTTCTGAAGGAGGCACTGTATTTACATTCATTCTCCTGCAGGTTCTTTAATCTGGGGAGCCAGTACTCCAGAAAGTTTTACAATCAATGCAACTACACCAGCAAAACGTATTCCTATCTAAAATTTAAACTTCCAATTCACCAACAATGTAAAACTTCCTTAGTTTTGTATGATTCAGAGCTAGTTGTGTTTATTGCCAAATAACTTTTTTAAAATTCTGATATCGCATGTTTAAATCATACATACACTAAAAAGATTTGCCTGTGTATTCAAGTTAAAATGAAAAATACGTTGCTGGCTTTTTTTGAAGTTGGTTTTCATATCATCAGTCATGAAACATAGTATCCTTTTGCCACAGATTCACCCAGTGTTTCCAAGCAAATTATAGTTTTTACTAAATACCTTGGGAATGTGTATATACTTTTTAAATCTAACTCAAAATGCTCCTCTATTATAGGAAGTCCACAAAGCATATAGTTTGTGCATGGCATACAGGTATTGATCGACTTACGACCTATGCAACTTATGACCATTCGACTTTACGACCATAATCGCTAGCCACGACTGCTCCACGTCTGGCAGCGCAAACGTTGCCCAGCTGGGCGTACAACAGTGCGGACCAGCTTCCGGCAGCACTACCATCTCTGCGTGCATATAGCCTACTCAGCTTACAACCAAATCGTGTTACGACCGGTCTGTCGGAACCAATCATGTTCTTAAGTCATGCACTGGCTGAATTGGCGTCTACTTCTGGTGACTTTTTAAATACTCTTCCAAAAAATTATTTTGATTTTGAACTTCTTTGTAAGAGGCATTTACGATGCCATTGCTTTATTAGCCCACACCTCTCCACATTACTTCGTTCAGCAGTCACCTGTTAAACAGTCATTTAAAGGGCTTCAGAAACACTAGATATTCTTTTCTTTTGGAGGTCCCACTCATTATTACAGCAAATATATTAAAATGCCAGTGTGGGAGAGTGGAGGAAGAGACACGATGCATTGTGAAAGGCTCTGCCAGGCTGGTCTTAGTCAGCTGGGGAGAAATAAACACTCATGACCCGGTGCCATAAGGAGAAATTTCTACTATC